CCCCCTCCCCCGAGTCGGATTCCACTTGACGGCACCGAACAGCAGCAGACACTCAGACGTCAGGGCTTAAAATGTTCGCGTCTGAGGTTCCCAGCCTTCTGGAAGCCAGTTGATGACGACAAAGCCAGAAAACACTACGTAACAGTTCAAGTCTGGGCCCTCACATCATCGGAATTGAGTCAATGAGTATTTCCGCCTTCAGGGTCCTTGGGCAGCGCATATGGTTCACAAGCTTGGCTGCTCATCAAAACGTCGGCGGTTCAGTTCTACCCAGAGGCACCCTGGAAGAACAGTTTGGCAAGTACTCCCCGAAACTGGCTGGAGCATGGCTCTGGGCTGGCACACAGGAGGTTGCTGGGGTCAGAATTGAGTCCACAGCTGGTTTACTCTTTCAAATGTCTCCCCATCTCTGAATAAGAAAAAGTCTTCACTGCTTTCCCCTTTCAATGCTTTAAAACTACCAGGAACAACATCTCCGCGTTCCCAGACACCCACAATGGCTGCCAGCACTCAGCAGAAAAGTGGTATGAACTGTTTGCGTCTCAGTTGCCAGCTACTGATCGATAGTTTAAGATTCTTCTCTGTAGTTCAACAAGCCAGGCACATCATTACAGTGTCATTTAGGCCTTTGGGTTCAAACCCTGATTTGAGTAGAGCCATCTACCTGCCCTACCAAATCCTCCCCCTCCCCCCCAAACAAAGTAATTATTGGAGACAACAATATGTGGGTTTCAGTCCTGAACATAGGAGAGGAATACAACCCACTACCACTGGGTTGATTCTGGCTCACAGCGACCCAGCAGAGCCTTTCTGAGACCGTAAATCTCAGACTGCCTCATCTTTCTCCCTCAGAACAGCTAGTGGGTTTGCACCACTGCCCTTGTGGTAAGCAGCCCAGCGCCCATAGGGCGCCTTAAGGGGAAGAAAGGAGCAACAATTAACCAGGCTTTCTGAAGTCTTTTAATAAGATGTAGCACAGAACAGATCGTGCCAGGAACCAAGGCAAGAAAAGGAAAAGCCTGTTTGGCCAGAAAGCAGATGGGACACCCCACGAAATGACCTCAGTGCCAGCTGTGGGCAAGGGCAAAGAGATGTGGGGCACACCTCCAGCCTACACTCGGGCGATACCATACTAAGTGAAGCAAGAAGATTCCAATGCCAGGCGTCACAGGCGTCACAGCAGTGGCTCACTCACTGGTTCCTACAGGAAATGGGAACTCTGACCTGGCTCCAGTACCACCTCCTTCCAGCAGAGACGCGGCCAAGGCTCATGCTCTCTCCGTGGAGCAAGCAGCAGGCCAAAATATGTCATCCCGTCTTTTCTTGGCACATGTGTTGCCGGGCACTGCTGAAACCCCAAACACAAGTAGTCAGGCCAGTTACAGAGTCATGCCAGTTAGAGAGACGGAGTTGGGCTCCAGCGGACTCTGAGGTCAGGCCACTGTGTCCTCAAAAAGAAACCTGACAGCGAGCCCAGAGGCCTGCCCTACTGTCATGAGACTGTCACAGGCCGCTCAGCAGTAGCCTCACCTCTCCTCTTGCAAAATCCCGCCACTAGGCTGTGTAGCTTTCTCCGTTTCTTCTCAATTCAGGACCAAATATGTGGACAGGGACCTGTGGGTTATTTCTGATAACCCACTAGCATAGAATTAATCTCGACTCGTGGTGACTTTCTAGAGAAGGGCAGAACTGCTTCTTTGGATTCCCCACGTTGCAAAGCTTCACAAGATCAAATAGGCTCGTCTTTCTCTTGCAGAGTAGCTGTGGGTTCAAAGTGCGGATCCTGCGATTGGCAGCCCAGCGTGTAACCACAATACCACCAGAGCACCGTCTCTAGATTTGAAACAAAAGGAAAAAGCACCTCACTGCCTTTGAGTCGATTCTGACTCATAGCGACCCTATAGTAGAACTCCTATAGGTGTCGGAGACCCCACAGAACAGAGTAGAACTCCTATAAGGGCCTGTGACCCTATAGAACAGAGTAGAGCTCTTATAGGGGTCTGTGACCCTGTAGAACAGAGTAGAACTCCTATAGGTGTCTAAGGCTGTAAATCTTTATGGGAGCAGAAAGCCTCATCTTTCTCCTGTGGAGTAGCAAGTGGGTTTAACCACCGGCCGTGCAGTTAGCAGCCCAGCGTGTACCTCCCTACACCACCAGGCCTGCAATCTTTACAGATGGAGATCTCCATCTGTATGGATGAGTAGACGGAGAAAAATCCCAGGGCCTACTAAATATTCAGGGTTTCCAAAGAAGTGATGTAACCCGAGAATCCGAATACATATGTCCTCTAATGCAGCAATGTCGGGTGTATCTTTCCCCAGCTCCTTGTTCAATGACCTCATCTTGGGTAACTTGAAATCAAAAATAAAATACAACATAAATACAAACAATACAATTAGGGTATCTATCCATCCATCCATCCATCCATCCATCCATATCTCTATTACGTATTTTCGAGGGCCAATCATTAAAAATTTACCAGTACAGTCACACAGAAAATAAAGCAAACGAAAAAGTAAAGCAAGCTTTTTAACTTCAGGAATCACAAAAGTCTGTCAAAAAGATAAACATAGTGTATTCCATGCTCAGCTGCAAATAATTACATGGCTACATTAATGTATCAAATAAAAATGCAACCAAATTTTGTTATAAGTGAAGGAATGGCATGGAAGCCACATCCCACGTTTTCTGACTTCAGGAGGGAGCAGAATCCAACTCCATACCAAACCCACACCGATTCCCACGGGGCAGAAACTAGACATGCCTCTACCCAACTTCCTCTACCCTATTCTGACACCAACTCTTTCTTCCATGGCGCTCCATTGGCCCGCTGGGATCGATCTTCTGTTGTGAGGGCGACACAGAACCCAGACGATACTCATGACTATGGGGTTTAGGATGCCGTTCTTTTGTCCACGGCATGTCTTCTCAGTCACGGAGACAGGCAATGTCTCTCTCGGGTCCTTGGCCTCTCTGCCATGCAGTCCCTTGGCCTCTGCCCAGCTTGGGCAATGTGATAAAGGTCCTCTACAACTGATACATGCCCATATCAAGTAACTTCACTTTACGCCAATAACTGCACTGGGGAAATGGGGCTGGCGGTAAGTGGGGGGTGGGGGTGGGCAGAAGCAAAGGTTTTTATAAGCCTGAACCCTTGCTCATTACAGTAGGAAGTCAAAAGATAATAACTAAAATTGATGACCCAATGGATAGCGGCTTATCCATGTTATCTATAAATAGAGATCTAAATTCATGGCATAATAAATAGTTAAACATTGAAAGTAGTTGCCTCTGGGGAAGAATCTCCAGGAGATGGGCGAGAGAACCCCGGCACTTTGTGATTTTTTTAAAACACTAATATTTGACTTTTTAAACTGTAGGTATATGTAGTTTAAAATTCTTTTAAAAAGTGTGCTAGTGGCATATTTCAGTCACATGCTTGCTATATTTTTAGGTGAAGGACCTCTATAATAAAGTCAACCATTCAACTGTCAATCTGCACAAAAAGGGCAGCAGCCTACATATCTCAGAGTATTCAAAATACATTTATTTATTGTTCCTTTTGTCCAAATTAACAACAGGGCCATTTGGCTTAAATTCAGAAGTACTTGGAAAAAGGTCTCTAGAGGCTGAAAATACATTGAGCCCATGTGAGACCATAGCACTACACTGTTTAAAAATAAATTTATCCTATGCCTCCCACCTTCGTGGACACTGCAGTCCATGGATAAAACTGATCTTTGAAAATCTACCTTGCTAACCAGATTTTAGGGCTATTGAAAATTTTTTAAAGAAGGTAAAAGGAACTGTAAGCACACGATTTCTTCCAAGTGACAAATCATGGTGGTGAAATTATAATACAGTACGCAAAGTGGGTGGTTCCCTCACTCTGTTTCTCTCACTAGTCTATGCTAGCTCTACCTTCACGGTGGGGAACCACTGCGACCCCCCTCCCCAGTGCAGAACTGTTTGGGTGTAATCATCTTTACCAAGTCTTGGCGTTCTTAGCTTATCGAAAGACCAGCAAGGATCCAGAATACCTGGCTAGCAATTGGTAATTATATCAGCCATGAAAAGCTGCTTCTCTTTCCTGAGATGTGTTATCTTAGACCCGTTTGTTTCACTCTTTTAATTAGTGAAGTAATGCGAAGGCGATTACAGATTCAATTTGATAAGGACAAAAAAAAACAAAAACGCAAAGTGGTGAGCAAAGTGAAACAATAATAAAAGTAACACTCTGTGTTGCTAAACCTTCTTGCTAGGCATTTAGCCGCCCAGACCTCGGCTATGCACCGCGAGTTTTGTTTGTTTGTGGGTTTTCCTGCTTTGTCAGTATTCTGGGTCCAGTATTCTACGCTCCAAAACACACTCGAACGTTTCCTGTCTGGAGCTGGCACACAATAGAAAGCAGGAAGGAACTGTCCGCGCACCGTGTCACGCTGGGCTTGTTTT